CAGCCAGCATCTAGGCCTAGCATGTGAGTAGGACCACCCGGGGTCCTCCGGACCCTCACTCCAGCCAGCACCCAGGCTCCGTGTGTGAGTTGGACTGCTTGCAGCCGCCAGACCCTCACTCTATCCAGCATCCAGGCCAGGCACGTGGGTGGAACTTCCTTTATCAGGCAGGCCCAGTGTGGAACCCTGTAGCAGAACTCCCTGCAGAAAGGCTAGAGGCAAGACCCACCCAGCTGATCCAGGAGCAGAATATCTTGACAGAGTAGAACAGAGGGGTCACCTCCAAGGGCTGCAGCAGAAGAACTGCAGCACAGCAGCAGCCAGACCCAAGCCACAACTGACTGGACGAGTTTGAACTTGGTAGATCTGGACCTGGGGCTAAGGTAATAACTCTACCAAGGCTCTACACTAAAGGTCAGAAGACAGTGCTATGCAAAATGACAAAGAGAAGGAGCAAAATGCATTTGTAGGCCCCGAGCCCACCCAGAACAAATGCAGGAAACACTAGCACAGAAGAAATTGGAAATCATGCATTTGAAATTGCTGAAATAATAGCGTCTGAAGTAAAGAAACAAAAGAGGAAACAGATAGAGGAAATCAGATCAGAAATAATTTCCAAAGTAAAGAAAGAAATGATAACTATCAAAGAAGTACTAAGTACTTCTAAAGAAGACAATGATAAAAAAAAATTAGAGGAGAACAGAAAAATGATGGAATCCTTTAATGAGCAATATTGGAAAGAAATAGAATGTATGAAGCAGATTCAAAGTGACATACAGGAAATTAAAACCTCAATCACAAGCTGGCAAAACTGTCTGAATGAAAGTGAAAACACACTTTCAGACCTTGACGACACCATTGCACCTAGTGAAAAGGCAAGGAAAGATCTGCTAAAAGCAATAAGGATGCAGGAAAAAATAATTCAACATCTGCAAGATGATGCAAAGACGAACAACGTAAGACTAATAGGCATCAAGGAGAAAGAAGGGGTCAGTACAAACGATATAAAAAGAATATGGGCAGAAGAGCAGAAACCTTCCCAAATATGGGGCAACAATCTGACATTCAGGCAACTGAAGCATACAGAATTCCAAATAACTTCAACTCAATTAAAAACACATCAAGACATATAATAGTCAAGATTCCAGAAATTCAGCATATGAATAGTATACTAAAGCCACTAGAGAAAACAAACAGATCACATTTAAAGGAAATCCCATCAGAATAATGGCAGATTTCTCTTCACAAACCATCAAGTCAAGAAGAGCATGGAGCAAAGTACTTCAAGTCTTGCAAGAAAACAAATTCCA